AGCCCAGGAGGCTTTATTTGTGGTCTGTGACTTATCTGAATTGTTGGGTCTGGTGTCTTTCATCTTCCTATTTACAATATCCATAAATTATCTTTGGGGTTTGGGTCAGGTTCAGTAATACAACGATCATTACAGCAGGTATTGGTCTTTCTGGAAGTTTTTATGGTTAACAAGTGCTACAGAAAAATATAATCCACATATTCCTACCCTGACAAACATCAAAACAATGTCAACCTATCTAGATGCTTTGTCAGAAGCAGAAGCATATAGCCCTTAAAGATGTTCTGACAGATGCCTGCCTTAAGTTTGATTTTAAGAGAATACAGAAGACCAACACTAGAAAATAGAGTGGCCCTTTCAATCATTATTAGACTTAGACAACTTTTATTGTCATTTTGTTAACACAGTGTACTAAAACTGAGGGGTCACTGATGATTTTACGGGCTCGGGACACGCAGCGCTGGGGTGAAATGTCTTTTATGGAGGGAAGAGGAGCCCCGATAATTCTCTCTGCTGTTCTCACCACTCTTCTCACTTTCTTCCAGTCTGAGGAGGTGTAGCCTCCACACCACACAGTTAGACAGCTGGTCAGAACGCTCTCTATGGTTCTTCTGTAGAAGATCATGAGGAGGGGTGGGGGCAGGTGGGCTTTCTTCATCCTCCACAGGATGTAAATACGCTTTTGTGCCCTTTTGATCAGTCAGCTCGTCTTTACAGTCCAGGTGAGGTTGTCTGTAATGTGCACCCCTAGGAATTTGGTGCTGCTGACCACGTCTACAGCTGAGCTGTTGATGAGCAGTGGAGGGTGGTTCGGCCGGTTCTTCCTTAAGTCAACGATAATCTCCTTTGTCTTCTCCACAATCAGGATTAAAAAATAAATAAATAATTTAACTTTATTGATCTCACATTGGAGAAATTTATGTCTGCATCTAACACATCCAGTAGTGGGCCAGGGAGCAGTGTGGGATTAAGGGTCTTGCTCAGGGACCCAGAGTGCAGGCTATGGGGATTGAACCGGGTACTTGCAAACTTCTCAGAGCAAAAGCGCACTGCTCTAACCACTAGGCCAACACTACCCTGGTTCTTATCCCCTGGGGGTCCTCTATGGAGTCTTGGTGGTTGTCGTCTCTGATGAGGCCCACCGCCATGGACTGAAAACGTCATAAGGCTATGGGTCTCAAAGGGTTTATTGAGTCTGAGTAGCAGGAACAGCGTGTCTGAGCAGCTGAAGCAGCACATCAGGAGCTTCTGAGCATCTGATGCGCAGGATGCGCTGCTAAAGCAGCAGCACCAGTTGGAGTTGGGAAAATTTGCGGCTCGACGCGCGACATCAACCAATCAGAGAAGCTGATCTGCGAGCTGGCAGGAAGACAGACACAGCAATGCTGATGCAGATTGCTATGATCACTCCTTTGAAACAGTTCATTAATGCTTAAATTAACTTAAAATGTCAAAACCTGACAGTTAAATATGTTAGATTTTTTTTTTTTTTTTTTTTATCGTGCCTGCAGTCTTAAGTAAAGGAAAAACGCCCTCCAGCTGCCGCAAATAGTAGCAGAAAACCCCAAGGAAGCGACTGGACCAGAGGCTGCCGTTGATGATGATTTTTAAAGTGACCAGAAATCCAATAAGTCCCTAGCTGACATATCTGCTCCCTTTCAATGTGCATTATTGAAATAAATGATGCACTTTTATATTTATACCACTTGAGGTGTAAAAAGATTTTACCTTAAAGTGTTTTCAGATTGTTTTTCTTTTTCGTTATATTTCCTGGTGTCATATGCCCTTTTCAATCATGTAATCTGCTAGACAAAGACCATTTGAAAATGAAAGAACTTATGTAGATCTACCTAGGTTAAAGATATCTCATATGACAGGTTAGCCACATACAACTGGCTCTAACATTGAATGTTTACTACTTAACCAAGAGCTTTAACACCATTAGCTAAAGCTCTGACTGACACCACCTTCAAATGATTGCAGTGTGAACTAAAGGGGTTGTAGCCTGGGGACAACTGTTTTAGATGCTATCTTTGTCTTATTTCAATTATAGCTTGGATCACAGAAACTGCCAGCATGATAACAAACCTGCTGACAGCTACTCCCTTAGGGCAGGAAATGAGTTGTACAACAATTGATGTCATCTGAGGTTAAATGTCCATTCTAATGAAGCATTCTTCAAAGGCAGATATATTCAGCTGCAGTGCCATCCCCCTTACTAACGTTAACTTTAAGACAAGATGAAAGTATAGCTTATGACATTTAGACAGCTCTGTGGCTTTTTAACCTCATTTGGGAACATATTAAAAGAAGTTGAGCAAGTTTAACATTAATTAAGTTTGAACGCATGCATCTAGATGTGACACAACATTGGGCTTGATAATGTATGATTTGTTAAGTTTAGTTTGTGAGTTTCAATTGACAATTGAGTTAAAGAAAAAGAAGATATTGGATAATTTAGAAAACCAAAAATCAAAGATCCTGTAAGACTCCAAAATACTTCTATAAGGGTAGAGCAGACACTAGACCTGTTCTGCACTGATCCATTGTCCAGCCACTGCCCTAATATAAAAAATAATTTGATGAAATCTCTAAGAAAATCTATTCTCATGTTAGTGTGAAATGCATCAAAGGCTTTGTAGGTGAATATGCTTGTATATTTCATATTTAAAGATAGTAGACTAATGAAAGCAAGCTTTTTCATTTGAACTTTGGAATGCATTTTTAAGGGTGAGAATCATTCACTAACCAATTGGTTCCCTTGGTGCTAGATTTGGTTCTTAAGTGGTTCAATAAAAATCCTGCTTATTTTTTCATAGCCTAAAAGCAACATAGCAACCAATTAACTGTCACAACTGTTGTAACTGTACAATTCATCATCATTTGCATAGCTTTATCTCCATCTGAAATTTTGAGTCACATACAGTTTACTGAGGCACATCCCAGCACTCAATATCCCTGCAAGCATGTACTGATTTAAGTATTCCATTAAATGCTTAAAAGCATTTCTAACATGTTCTTTACTGTCCTCTGCACATGTAGTCAACTACTTTTTCCACATTTTGTCACAGCAGGACAAGAAACAGCAGTGAATGGTATAAATATTCTAGGATATACCAACACAAATGCTCAACTATGAATTGTCAAGAAATGAATTGTGACCTGCAAAGGGTTACAAGCATGTATTCTACACTCCTGAGTCAATATTCTGTACTGTCTTTCCTTGTGTTGCAATATTGCTGCAAGCCTTTTAAGATATTTATATCCACTTTGCTCATATAGATGGTTATTTGTTAATTCTTTACAAACTATGTCAAGTTTTGCTTGATTTTTTTTTCTGGATTGTGAACAGACAATATTAATGCATTAGAGTGTTTATTAACTATGGCCCAGCAGGAATACTGGCCGTCATGTAATCTTTTATAGTATGTGTTTGTTTTTGTACTGCATGTTTTTGTTACCTGGTTGGGACATTTTCCCAGGAATATGCTACATTTAAGCGACTTATGGGTACTTGTGGGGACCAAAGAGTGGTTCCGATGAGGAAAGGTTTTATTCTTTACGTTCGGACTAAGGATGAAATTGAGTTTAGCTTAGGTTTAGGGTTATGTATGTTTTGGTAAGGGTTAGGCCGTAGAAATGAGAGTGGAATGAATGGAAGTCAATAGAAAGTCCCTACAAGGATGGTGTGACACATGTGCACTGCAAAAAACAATCTAGAAATAGGTCAACATTTCTTAAATGAAGTGTATTTACCCTTAATTTGAGTAGTTAAATAAGATGATTAACCTACTCAAGTTTAAGAGGTTTTTTTACTCTTAAAATAAGATAATTGGATACCATGCACTTGAAGACAATGCAATAGGTTTTCCTTATTTTAAAAGTAAATTGTCATTTTCCATTGGCAAAGTGTTTCCTCGATTAAAAAAAAAATGCACTTTAAGAAAAAATTACTTATCTCAATTTTGATATTTTTTTTTTCTTCAGTGTGTGTGTTTGTAATTGGGTGAATATAGGTCTACTGCAGGGGTCTTCAACCTGGAACACTTAGTCAATTTACAATATTTACTATTTTAAGATTGTAGTTGTACCTCTGAGTGTTTAACTTTATTCAACGAAAATGTGTCACATTCCGGCACCTGCTGCAAAAAAGCATATCCCCAGAGCATGAAGTTGCTGCCAAATAATGTTTCACTGTGAGATTGGTGTATTTTGCCTGTTACCTTTCCTGCCAAACCCTTGACTGAAACGGTAATTAAACATTTGTGTGCAGCTTTGCAGGTAGTGCTGACAAAACAGATGGATTAATAATAATGTTTGCACACACTTATTTGTTGTGAAGTAGTTCTCAGCCTTTGTAAACATCTCCAGAGTGGTAGAGTATGATGTAACACAACCCCAGTCCCAGAGAGAGATGCTAAATACACAATAAAATGGTATCCATGCACCTCGTTGGAATGTTACTCATCGAAATTGAGACTTTAACCTCCGACTTGGTAACAGCATGCACGACATGAGAAGGTTATACCTCTCAGTGGTCCGTTTTCAAGTCGGAAGTCGATGTCCGCTGGATATTATCCCCCCTGCTGCGTTTAGCGGTAATGAATGACGGTTAATGAACACCACCGCTGAGACTGGCTTCTCTTGAATCACCATTTTCTCCATGCGCTTGCTGGTGGCTGTCTGGGAGATGAGAGGGAAGAGCAGCGAGGGAAGCAGAAGGGGGAAAGAGCACAGCAGGAGGGCTGTCACACCTTGTACTATTCCAACACCAAGGTGGGAACTCCATAGCTTTAACATGACAGATCAAAGAGAGATATTGCACAGAGGATAGGGCAGGTTAAGATGCTTTGTTTCTTCAAGGCACACGCATGTTTTTGGCGTTTGATGGACCTTTCAGCAGAGTTTTTGTTTCTCCACACATTCATTTATCAGATGACAGTGTCTCGCCTTTTTCATGTTTATTAACTAATTTGTGTTCCTTCTTTACTGTCTTTCAGCCACAGGGATCTAAAGCCTGAGAACCTCTTGTTAGATGAAAAGAACAACATCAGGATAGCAGATTTTGGTATGGCCTCTCTTCAGGTTGGAGACAGCCTATTGGAAACCAGCTGTGGGTAAGCATCTTTCAAAGCATTTTTTTTTTTTTTTTATCAGTTCAATGCATTAAGTCTGTAGAACTGCTATAAATGTAAATCTATATCACAGTTTTAGTAGAGGGGTCAAACGAAGAAGGGAATTAGCAGTGGAGCGAACAGGTCAGCTTCTTTTTGAAAGCCCCACAGTGTGCCGTGTAAATCTCTGGAGGAGAGACTTTTGCCATCTACTCTCTTGGAGCATGGCCAGGGCCTTGGCCAAACATTACTGATCTCCATCTCCTCCCCTCTCGCAGAGGGGTTTATGATCTAGCATTTACCATCCCGCCAGGCTCATCAATCCTATGACTACAATGAATTTGCCTGTAGGGGAAGTCACTTTCAGAGTTGGATAGCTGTTATCAAATAGAAGCCTGAAGTCCCTGTATAGTGCTTCTTTTTAACTCTAAATAGTGTGGAAGATTCTCATAGCTAACTTTTGGAAAGTAATTTTGAGTAATAGAGATGCACAAATCACGACTTTGTTAATGAGCTTCTGCCGTCTGCAAGTTTTAGCTAAATCTGATTCTACTTTAGGAACTAGAATAAAAAGGAAAAATATGAGAAAAGTAATAAAATAATTATTTTCGTCTACCTTCATGAAAGGTCATTTATAGGAGAAACATGACGCTCACTGTAAGAGCAGTAACTCTTCCTAACACTCTTAATACAAACCTAGAATGTGCCTTTACACGAGTTTGACTCTCAGGATGATGATGATTAAAAGCAACTTTGAAGTACCTTTTCAGCCACTCTCTCCCTGTCTCATATTCTTGATGAACTGCATGGTGAATGTTCTTTCTCATTTATATTAGACTCTAACGTCGCTGTGATTTTTTAAAGTTAATTTTCGATACTTAAATGACATTTGAAATACAAGTTTGAGTCTGCTTCACTTGTGATAGTTCTTGGTTGTGGTGTGTGCACTGATCAAATAAATATAAGTTTACTTGATTTTTTTTTATGAAGATGCATACACTATTCTCAGCTTTTACTGAATATAGAGTTGGTCAGTTTGAGGATTTGAGGACACAGTTCTTTTTTGCTCAAAAAGGTCTATAGGAAACATGCATTGTTGGTGGATTAGTGGATGTTTTTTTTTTTTTTAGAAAAATATTTTATCTACAGCAGAGCTTGCAATAAAAAAATGTGTAGAGATTTTTGTTTTTTTTTAGGTACATTATAAAAATATTTGATTAAACTGAAAAAAAAAAATCACTCCAAGCACATGGGAATTTCTATATAGTAGGGAAGACTTGGGACAGTTGCAACAATGGATTTTTGCAATAGGTCTTTTTTTCTTAAAAAAAAAAATACTTTGTTGATTATTTTGATATTACACATTCTCAGTTGGGCTTTCACCAGCAGGACAGAAGACACATTAAAAATCATCTTCCAAGTTTGTTGGAAATAAACATATTTTATAAAGTGTGAAAGTGCATTTTTTTAAGATGGCATATTTTTGTCATACCATTGTGACAGTGTGTATGAATAAATTACAACTTAGAAAAAATCACCTCCACCACATGTCACCTCCACCAACTTCTCATCTTTCGCCCTGGCATGCTGGTCATGTATTCTTCTCATGATAGTTCGCCTCGTAGGTAGTTTGTAAGATGGGTCATCTGTGGCTGCCTGGAGAAAAGCTCGAGACCATTGTCATAACAACACTGATGGGTGGGCAGCTTGTGGCTATCAACTTAGCGTGTAGATTAGTTAACTTGGCTGATAGAGCTGTGCTGACGGGCTTGCCTCGGTGACACTCAGACATTGTAGTTTGACGCACACGACTCTTCCCCTGCACTACATCAGTGCTTGGGCCGGCCGGCATCTTTGGCATAGGCTAAGGGATTCTTTGCATTTAGGTGATATTTGAGATTGGAAAAAATTCTGCAGTAAACCAATTCCACATTGCACAGGGTGCAAACAGCTTTAGTCTTCTCAAGGTTTCCATTGGGAAAATTCTTAAAATACATTTTCTCAGAAGCAAGCTTTACTGCTGCATATATGTCAGCATGTCACGCGTGATGTGGTCATTTCACAGTAGGCTTACACAGGTTGAAACACTGATTTGTTCCCGCCCCCAGAAATACATTCGCGCTAAAATATTAAATGAAAGTCATTCTAGCTTACTCAGTAAAGGCCCAGCTCCCAACCCAACTTTGGGAATAGATTAATGGCGATATTTCAATTATCGCCCAATAAGAGTCTGGTGTTAACTTAGCAGGTTAACGCCAATAATGGCCACCACTTTTTTTCAATTAATTTGACCTTTACATTATTTGTCCATGTCAGAAAACAAATTTACTGTGTGTCAGAAATGTAGCTGTTTTGAGAAGTCGAATATGGATATCCTTGCAGATGTTGGTGATTGGAAGGCCCTATGACATCTGACAAATCTGAGGTTCCGATGCTCATTGGACAGAGATTAGTCTGTGTTAATCTTTTTCTCTCATCCTACCATCATATGTCACGTCAACATGATTATACAGATGTTTCCATTCAGCTGAGAGGGTTGCAGATTTTTTTTTCCATCAGAGCGGTAATCTCTAAACCATTATGGCTCATTGGTAAAACAATTGCTCTGTGTATTTCTTTTTATACCTATGCAATATGTGAATAAAAAATATATTAGTCACTTAAACAGTGACGAGCATGATTTCTAAAATAAGAGAAATGCAACGCCTCTTTACTCAGCGGTATCTGCTGACTCAGTCTGTCTGTATTTGAATGTTCGGTACCTTGCGCTTCTGGTTGGGTTTTAATATGATATATTGCTGTGCATTTTCTCCGTTTTACCAATATATATTTTTTTTCACATATATTTACAAACTATGGAAGGCACACCTACCAAAGAAAGTTTAAAAGTTTGATTCATTTATTTACCTTTTTTGCCTTCAGCTCCATCATAATTCTGTTTGTGAGCATGTCTCTGAAATGTGTGGGCAGCATGTCTATGCATATATCTGCTGGAGTCCAATACATGTGCCATAAACTGTAATTGTGGTTATTGATTATTCATGCTCTTCTGGTTGCCCCTTCCCTAAGTGCAGATATGACACTTTTTAATTAAACAGATTTATCTGGGTCCCCTCTCTCCATGTGGCAGTCAGACACAAATGTATTCCATTTGCTTTGGGTAATGGAGTCAAGTGGAGATGAGACTTGCCTCAGGTAGCTTGGGGGGGTGTTCAGACAACATCTGACACATAAATACATGGAGACCTGGAATTGTGTAAAAGGAGCAAAGGCACTGACTAGAGCTTACAAACACAGATCCAAGGGAATCTCTTTATGTCTTTCCAGACTCAGCTCAGGGTTTATCATTGCTATATATTTAATTCTATAAGTTTAATGCATGAACTGATTAAACTTTTACAAAGTGACCAGCGCACTCATCTTTGGTATAATACTGCTTCTTGTATGCATAAAAGCATATATTTAGTCATAAGATTATGAAGTTAATAGACTGACTCAGAGAGGCTCCCTCGTTTTGCTCTGAAGTGAATGCCATGCATATTTACAATTTTAAAGTCGTTGTTTGCATGCTTAGTTTGAGTTTGCAGAGAAGAAAACAAGTTATAGTATCTGTTTTTATCTTCTTTTCCAATTGTCTTGTGGGATGTTGTATAGGGTGACCATATTTTCATTTGGAAAAAACCAGGACACCTTGGAGCGGCGGGGGGGGGGTCTCATCATCGGGATCCGTGATCAGAGGAAAGGTTACTTGCCGCAGAACAGTGGTGAAAATTGGAAGTTCAGTTTAATATAATACAACTCTGTGAATAGTTCCGTCTGAAATGAATGAAAATAGTTGTTTTAATGGTTATTGAGTCAGATATGTGGTGGTAATGTTTGATTTATCTAAAGGTTTTTATCTGTTACTGTGTAAATGGGTTTGGCTGTAATTTAAGGACAGATTCTAATAGATCTGCAGAGTGGGAACTATAAATCTGATAGGAGTTTAATTTTTTTATTGTTGTTTTGCACAATATGCTTAACTAAGTATTTTTTGTTGTTGAATATTAGAGATTTTGCAGATATATTTTGTAGATACATTGTTTAGATTTACTTATATATTTCTAACCCTTTTATAGAATAGAATAATCCCTTTATTGTCCCACAATGGGCAAATTTACAGCAGCAGAAAGATTATTGAAAATGGTCACACAAATGAGGACCTTAGAAAAATGTATAAGAATAACATAATAGGGAAGAGTTAAAATATACAAAATAAAATTCTGTAAAGTGTTTTAACAATGTAAAACTGGAGAATTAATAACCGATATGCAGCTATGGACATTTTTACAGTAATGGATATTTGAAAATAGCAGCAACATCAGAGATGTGCAGAATGACAGCAGCAGGTTATTTAACTTACTAAGGTTTCTATCATTACATTTGATTTTATTAGTTCCTGCTCCCGGTGGTTGGAACCTTTATTCCACTCTGGATTCTTGTGAGTCTTTGTTCACTTTAACTTTTTAAAAAATAAATAAATAAACAAATAGTTTTGAAAACCTCGGTATTCATTCTTTTCCTGCTTTGTGTGTCAACTTTCACGGTTGCTAAGCAACAGAGCATTCGCCGGTAAAACCCGTCGAAGGGTAGACCTGGTCGAATTCACAGCCAAAACTCTTCCGGCCTCCTTATTTTCAAGGACATGGAAGGATCCAGTCTAGGTAGACCGCGTCCTAGGAGGATGCAGCCCAGGTTTTCGAACAGAGCCTCTGATTAAGAACAGGGCTGCCCGCACGCGGCTCAGGGATTACGTCACACGGAGCGTCGTGCACAGTGAAATCAGGACATTTCCTCACTTTCTAAAAAAAACCCGGGACGCCTGGGACAGGACGTGAAATACGGATATGTCCCGGGAAATACGGACGTTTGGTCACCCTAATGTTGTAGGTTTCTAATCTAGTTGTGTGACCAAAATGGAAAGGCATCCTGTAGCAGATGCCTCAATTTACCGCAAAAAAAATAAAAAACCAACCATCCAGGTTAGACGAACTGATGCTACAAAAGGGTGAAATTAGAAGAAACAAATTTAGCAGTTCTGCTTTTATAATCCTGTTAACCATATACATACAGAAAATGCCAAAGCATATAAAGCACCTGGGAGGAAGTGTCTTTAATGGCAGACTTTCTTATAATGTCCCTGTATTTGTTTCCTTTTTGTTTGTTTTTTGTCACAGTATTTTCTAATGCAGTAGTATTAGCTTGATTTCATTTCTGATGATTTTCAACTATCGGAAATAAACAAAACACTCATAGCAAATAGTTTATTCCAATCAGTTCTCTTGGCTCAAGTTTTTAAAAACATAAGTACCTATGTATGCAGATGTTTATTCTGCTTCTGCAAACATTTGAAGTATACTTGTTTAATTTTTATACAGTCAATAGCTACAGAACTCAAAACTACATTTGAGTTTTAGATGAGCTCAAGAAGACCACATTGAATGGATTTCTATAACAAATCTATTACAAAATTTTTGTCTTGCATCAGAAAACGCAGTACAAAGCATTGGATGTAGTCCCATAAAGCATTGACGATTTGAAGAGATGGAGATATTTTTCGGTATAAAACACCGGACATATCTCTTGAAAAGCAAGTTTGAGTAACTTTAGAACAAAAGTGACTTAAATTTCCTAGAGTTATCCTGTCCATCTACTGTTAAAACACATGTTGAAGTGTAATCAGGGTGGATTCACTGTTTAGACTGTTTAGTTATGTTATACATACAGTACACACATGGCTGTTTCATCTGGGCATTATTCACTAATGAGAGTTGTGATGGTGTGAAATATCAGCTTTGTAAACATATAGCATTCTATCCATTGTGGCTTTGGCTGTTCCAGTTATATCTGCATTTTTTTCTTTAAATATGAAACTATTTGTAACCAATACACTGATGATTTGCTTACTTTGAGACTGAATGATATGTTCCATTTCACCTCATTGCTAAAAAAGTTGTTTGACTCAGTAGAGCTGATGGTGGAAAAAGATGGTCTGATTTGCATTTCTAGACAAATAACTGGAAAGGCCTGATCTGGTGGATAGCCAGTTTTTCAATAGATGGTAGGGGAAACATTTATGACTGGCATGTCCTATTTTGATTTTTATCAGTTAAATAACATTCACTGTACAGTAGGTGAGGGGATGGATTTGAGAAATGGTCTATAAAACCACACTGACATTGACCTGTGAGGAGATCCAAGTCTAGGAATTATTTACCTACACTGCTATTAGTATAGATGGAAGAACCTGCACTACCACAGTGTGAAGCATAACCTTCTTTTTAGGCCGAGTGCATGAACTCTCTAGTGTGCATTTTTGTTTTGTGGGGATAATAGAGCAACATGATTATTAGGCCCATATACATCCCGAATTTGGAAGGAAAGTGGGAAACCAAGTGCTGCTTGATTGATTGACTTTATTGATCAAATATACACGTTACATTATTATACAGGGTTATTGCACAGTGTATTCAATTCAATTCAATTCAATTCAGTTTATTTATACAGCGCCAAATTCACAACACATGTCATCTCAAGGCACTTTATAGTACAAATACAGTATTTACTTCAGTATTTGTATAGATGGGTATTTATCTATATATTTATTGCACTGGGTACCAAATACAAAGAAACAGGTTATTGCACAGGACATTAAATAGTAATTGCACATCATACCTTGTTGTGATAGATCCCAACCAAAGCAATATCATCTTTAGAGAAGTCGGGTATAACTTTCTCATATTTAAACACCATCTTATATACCAGAGAAAGTGATTTTATTATTAAGTGTATTTATGAATGAATACAATAAATGTATTTATTTTTGTTGAATCTCTTAATAAGACCATTTTAAACTGTGAAGGCTCATTTTTCATTTCCTTTTCCATCACTAGTTGCTTTTGTAATCGAGGACTGAAAAATTGTAATTTATTTTTTTAGTCTTTTTTTTTTCATCTGTATGCCCCTTGTGAGATTTAATTTCAAACGTTGTTGTAGCCCATTGTTGCCCATACCCAGATTTTAATAGATCATATGCTGAATTTCCCTTTGGGATTAATAAAATATTATTGAATTGAATTAAATTAAATTGAATAAGGAAACTATGTTTAAACTGGGACAGATCAGAGGGGTTGTTGAAGCTACATCTGTGTTTTTTTTTTTTTTTTTTTTTCTGTCTAATAATGAATAAGGATTAATTTAAAACTCCTTGTTTGTTTTCCTCTCTGCACTGTGACTGATCTGTAAGTCCTTCAAATGACAAGTCTTATGTTTTTGCAGATTACAGTTATGGTTTGCATGCTGTGGTGCCCTTAAGATGTATGAGACATAACTATTACAAATATGGGTTGTTTTTTTTCCCCTCCTCTTGATCAAACACATGATGCGCTGTGGTACTTGCAATCATGAAGGACGAATTTGCATGGGCTCACATTTGAACTTGCCCTGTTGACATGCTGGTAGTGTTATTAGCTTTTTTTTTTTTGACAGCTCAAGGAGTTGGGTCATCAAGGATGGTATTCATGAGTACACAAGAAAACAGCCTTAGACAGGCCCTCATTAAAGTCAGATATCCTGGCACTAGAAAGAAGGAGCTGAAGCTGTGGAGGACACATCTCAATAGGCTCAGAGGTTCAAGGATATATATGAATATTTTGTAACATTTTGTTTAATGGAGCCAATTATATGCAGATTGAGGCAGATATCTCATTTTTACTCCGAGACATTTCATTTCAAAACATAAGAATTTCCAAATTTATATAAGGACTGACAAGTTTACTCCTTTGCTGCAGCTGCCAGATTATAGGGCAGTTTTAGTGGGCTTGCTCCATAAATCTTCATATGATATTGATGTGTCAATCTAGTCATTGGCTTTACTGTCAGGCCATCCAGAGGCTGTAAAGATTAGTGAGTCTGGTTACCGTCTGCTACAGAAAGATGCCCTTGACTGAGGAAAGCACCGGGCGGAGGACATCCATACACCCTCAGGATGTCTAAACTGTGGAAGTGCACCTTGATCTATGTTCAGTGGAAATGTTTACTATCTAATGTGCATTAGAGTGTTATTTGTTTGTTTGACTGCTCTGACTACATTACTGACTTTAGAGCTGGTTGACTTTCCTTCTCCTTCTTGTCTAGTTTGTTTACTAAAGGTGTCTTTCTTTTTTTCTTCAAGATCACCACACTATGCATGCCCAGAAGTCATAAGGGTAAGTTCATCTTTGAATATTTTTTTTTTCTACATTGGTTTTTTACTTTCTAAAAATATGATTGATGATGTCACCATCCTGTCCTAACTTAAAATAACACATTGTCTTTCCTCCAGGGGGAAAAGTACGATGGAAGGAAAGCAGATGTTTGGAGCTGTGGGGTTATTCTTTTTGCTCTTTTGGTGGTGAGTCCATACAGTAGAGTACCTTGCAAAAATATTTCTCTATTAACTTCTGTGTTTTACCACATCTCTGTCACAAAACTAAATGTATGTTATTATAAATATACAATAAAAGCAAGTAGGGACAAGAAGTCACAAATAGTAAATCACAAGAAAATCTAAACTGCTGTCTTGCTATTTATTTACTAATAAAATGTATGTATTGTATGATTGTTCTTCAGCAGCTGTTTTTTCATACTTTGAAAAATATTGTTTGGTTAAATCATAGCCGGCTTTGCATACAAAAAATAACCCTTCAAATTGTAACCATTGTTCTTGCCGAACAGATTAAGCTCATTCAGATTTGTAAGAGTTTGTATGTTTTGCCACAGATTGCCACAGATTGTGAGCTTTGACTGGCCCATTCTAACATGTTTTCTTTGGGTATTACCTTATATTAAACTCTATCCATCCTTTTCATATTGTCTGTGCGTACACAAAAGCTCCATGAATTCACTGAGGACCACTTTTAGCAACATCAGATGTGCTCTTTGTGACCACACACCAATATTATGCCTATTATACACCCAGGAGTTACCTGGCTTATTGAAAGATCAGATTACAGCTGCAATTTCCATTGGTTTACTTTTAATATAACTGAGTTGGCCCACTTAAAATGGAAAAAAATGTATAATAATTCTTAGCTTTCTTCTTCTTTCTATTCTTCTTCCATAAAGGCCTACTCAGAGTGCATTGCTAACAGGCACTACTATTGTCCTTCTGACTGCATCTTTAATTATTGCTCATCTTTCAACTTTATCATGAGTGTAAATTCTCAGTCATCAAAGTCATCAACCACAAGCCTTCTTAAATTGGAAGTACACTTGGACCTCAAAAACAAAGGAAACACCTTTAAAGACCAGATTGTTCAGATTTTTGACAGGTGGGGTCATAGAAGCCATTTTGTGAAAAGAGAAAAGCCATCATGGAACAGGAGGGGGAGGATTGTGGTTTCAGCTTCCAAGCATTTAAAAATCAGCTATGGACCTCCTTCCAAAGAAGTTACTTAAGAAGTCCCAGAATGACTAATCAGAGCCCATGCACAACAGGAAGATGGACCTCCATGCAGCTTAAATGCATCAGCACTCCAACTAGAGTTTGCTTTGGTGCAAGCCAACAAAAGTGACAAAGACTCCTTGATAGGTGTTGAAACGTCAAACAATTGAGTAGAAGCCTGGTTGCTTTCCAATTTAAGCCTGTTTATGGTTTCCAACTTGAAGTTTTTCATAACATTGGAATGTCCGTGGTCCTTAAAAAAAATAATATATATATATATTGCCCTATTGGGACCTATAGCATCCTTTCACTTCTTATTCTTAACCTACACAGAATACTGTATCTAAAATAAGGTTTATTTTTCAGTTACATGTACTGTTTGGGTCCACCAGCAATGCAGTCCTTTAAGCTTTATTGTACAGCTGTGCTGGAGTTCCTGCACACTTCTCCCTAATAAATAATTCATGCAGCCAAACTAAAGGAAGGGAACCCTAAACAAATATCATTATTGACATGGCAATGTTTTGCCATAGGCTTGTTTATTCCTCTCCTCTTTTGCCTCTTTTATTCCAGACACTGGGTAAATCTTGGAACGTTTCCATTTTTCTGATCTTGACCATTCTCTCACAAAAAACAGAAGTTGTTTTTTTTCTAGCAACTGTTTTCTTGAAGAAATACCAATGTTCTTCTGTTTCCTCCTGCCGTCTGGCTGTGAGATACCATTTGTCTGATTGGGGGAGACAGGATACTCCCCAGCAGTTAGACTGCACTCAGATCATCTGTTACACAAGTCTACCCCAACCCCAACCCCCCCATTTACTCCTTAACTCTACGCCAATCTGTCTGTCTTTCCCGCCGGTTTCCTCTCCTCCATCTTGTCCTCTGATGGAGGCTGCCATTCATCACACAGCCACATCTGTGAGGTGTCAGCACTCTTTGATAAATGACTCTGATGAGAGCATGCTAAATGAACATGGTAAACAAGAAATCATGGTAATTATTAGAAAAGACCCATTCACAGCTAATTGCTGTTTTTTTTCAGCTTGTTTTGCTTTGCAGTTGAGGAAAGGAAACCCATTCTTGAAGACATTGAGGACTTAATCTCAGAATGGTTTTGTGTGTGTGCGTACCTGTCTAGCCATCAGAGTGAGGAACATTTTTCCAATTTCACCATCAAATTGAAGACCAGTTGTTGCAAAGTGAGGACGTTTTGATGGCCCTCACATGCTATTTCGCGAAGGGTTAGGTTTAGGGCTAAGGTGTCAATTGGTTAGGGTTAGGGTGGGGTATGCATTGGTAATGGTTAGGTTTAGTGTTAGTTTTAGGGTTGGGGCATAGAAAGTGTTGAACATGACTGAAAATCAATGGGAGTCAACACATGGTCCTCATTACAATGGCAGAACGAGTATGGGGGTGTATGTGTGTGTGTGTGGCATTGCAGTAGATTTATCCTTTACATCATGCTTAAGTGAAGGCTTAGTTATTTTCTGCAAACTTCATCCCCTATACCTTCTTTGAATTGATTGTCTTTAAGTGCTGTCTGCCTCTTTCAGGGCGCCCTGCCATTTGATGATGACAACTTAAGGAATCTCTTGGAGAAGGTGAAGCTGGGAGTGTTTCACATGCCACATTTCATTCCTCCAGACTGTCAGAATCTCCTCCGTGGTATGATTGAAGTGGATGCATCCAAAAGACTAACGGTCAGTTTATTTTGGAGGCTTCATTGCAGAGCAATGATTAACCTCTTGGATGTACGTCATCTAGTGCATTTTTTTTTTATTTATTTTTTTTGTGAGTCTCCATTCCTGTCAACCAGTTGTTGGTATAAGTTGGTGGAGGGACTTCTGTTACTTAATTTTGAAACTTACCAAGTTTTTTTTTGCACTGCAATTGCAGGTTCCACTGTATGTTATTTGCATTTCAAGTTATCAACACAAAGAAGTATTTTATAATGAAGTTAAAGGCAAAGACAATGTTCAACTATTTCAGTTTTTAAAATTGTGACACTCAATTATGTGTAGAACCACCTTTCACTGTAACTAAATATTTTGAGGTGCAGTATGTCTCATCCAGCTTTGAATAGCTAAGGAGTGAATTATTTCCATGTTTGCAAAATAGCTTTAGCTGAGTAACATTTGAACGGGAGTGCCAACCTTAATTAAAGATTTAAAACATGTTCTCATTTGGATTTGGTTTTAAAAGTGTGATAATAAATGTATTTAAACCAATCAATTGTAGCTCTGGCTGTAGGTTTAGGGTTGCAGTCCGCCTGGACCTTTAACTGTTTTCCAAGTCACAATTTTATTTGTGTCTCTAATGGATCCTTCCACCTATCCCTCCTTGCCTTTACACATGTAATGTGTAAAGGCAATATAAAATACTGTTTTTTATTCCACACAGCATTTTATATGTATAAGAAAAAAAGGTAGGTGACATCTAACCAGAGTAGTAGGTATTGAGTTATCTTTATGAATCAGTTCAAGTCTTTTCATGTTTGTCCTTATGAGGAAATCTGGTTACACTGCTGTTGGGAATTGTTACTGTCCCATTTCCTTTTTGCTTTAGATTATCGTTCACATTTAAATTCAATTCAATTTCAAAAATGCTTTTATGAATCCTAAAGTATGGTCAGAAAGCCTTGCAGAGAGACAGTTGAATCCGAGATGTGAACCTGCAGCCATGTTTCATGGCAAACTCTGCTCTTCCAGCTGTGCTCGTGCAGAAATCTGCAGAAATACCAAAAAATGATGCCCCACACCAATGGTTCGCTCTCAGCAGTATGGCTCTTCCTGTTCTCGCTACTCAATAAACTATATGTTTTATTTCTTGCAGCTCACAAGAGCTGATGCTAAAACAATGTTTAATTTCTACCGAAAGGAATCTAATTTATATCCAAAGAAAATATTGAATTGCATGCTGTTTATTTTTGGATAAAGAGCCAGGTGAAAAGGTACATTGATCTTTCAATATTTCTCTTTCACAGTTCTTGTTTGTCTATTTATATAATGCAAATGTTTCCTTGTGTTGTCATTCAAATACTTTCTCTGTTTTCTTTAAATATTTCAACATTTTAGTTAGCATTTTCTTTGAATTTAGGTCTGGATTGTCATGGCATTGCAAGACAATTATGTAGGTTTCCTCTGTATTTTTTTATATTAAACCCCTGTGAATTTAAATCTACGTTGACCCCTGAGCAGCAGTAACCAAGGGGCAAATTGAAGAAATAAATTAATTGCCAAAGTAGAAAGAAGAATGTTTTTGTTCTTTGCTTTTTAGGAGTAATGACGATTGATGGATCTGTGTGTAATGCATAATTAAAAGTACATCAGGAAGTATTTGCTTTGGGATGGATATGTTATGTCTAAAACCATTCATTTATTGTTAATTTTGTTAGCTTGTCTGTCTGCTAAATTAACCAATATGATGTGTTGAACTAGATCTGCTATTTTCATAACTTTTGTGGCACAGTGGGGCATTAACTCATGAAAAAAAAAAAAATTGAATTCTATAAATCAAAGTTTTCAGACCCAACAGCAATGATAAACTGCACAGCAGCATTCTGTACCCAGAAATTGTAGTATCTAGGCAAGAGCTGTCGGTCTGGTAAAGAATCTGGTTGTTATTCAAAATTGTAAAGGTTTACAACATAAAACTGACTAAAACTAGACTAAAACCTTTTTAAGTTTTATTCGATTAAAACTATCACATATAGTAATGACTAAAATGCGACTAAAACTAATAATAGATTTCATCCTGAAGACTAAGACTAAATCTAAGATGGCTCTTAAATATCAACACTGGTTCTCTTAAAAAAGAATATCCGAGTCTAGCTGGCAGAGCTACTCCAATGTGCAGCCACCTTAAGCAGCTCAATTCTAGGATGTTCCCACAATAACACTGAACAAGTTTTTTCAAGTTATTTTCTTTTTAATTTTACGGTATGGGCAAAGGAAAAAGAAAATTGGTATGAAATAAAGCAAAAAGGTCTATATAGTACTATTGTAGCTGCATAAAGTGAAAATAAATATGCAATTTTATTATGCTGCAGATGCACTGCTTCACTACTCATGTCCCCCCTCTTTGATGAGGGCAGGTCACCCTGAGATCCCCAGATATGCCCACCAGAAAGCAGCAGTGTCCTCGATAAAGGGTTACACTAAGGCCAAACGGCTGAGAGAGAATATGCTATCTGTCTGTTCCCCTCTCCTAACTCCAAAAGGACCTTAGAGGATGTGTTGTAACCTCACAGAATGTCAAATAGCCTTTCAGTTTGAGAATCTTTCAAGATTACTAGTGAGCATAGAGTCGCACAAGAGACAAAAACACCCAAGGGCAGACATAACAACAAGAGGTTATTTGGCAAGGGCTTGTTTTTTCATGAACTTCCTCATAACAGTTTGATGGATCTATTTACACTGTAATCATACAGCCACTACTGTCTGTTAGCTTCTGTTAATTAGATTTTTCTTGTTGATGCAAAAAGAATCAAATCTCACAAAGCCAGAGTCCCTGTTATTGGTGGGAGGCCATATCCCTGCATTTAATGGACTTGACTAAAACAAAATAATCACTATTCTCTCTTTCTGGTTAGACATCCAGAGGCCAGTGGGTATTACAACCCTCCTGGGCTCTTAAGTCTAGCTTACGCAAAACACTAAAAAAATTGTTTGCCCCTAACAGATGAATCATCAAATGATTAAAAACTCAAACTGAAAGCACAGGATTCATTTTCTAGAACTCAATATGACCACTTAAGACTTCTAATATCCTAATTCTTCACCATATTCTCTTTCTAAAATGAGGCCTTTTGAAATACAGCTTTTAATGTTCAATCTTTACTGCTGTCTGACAGGAAAAAGAAGCAGAAACGTAGATCTAAATGGTTTCTACCTTACTTTGCAACACGAGAGGGGACGGTTAATACGGATTTAAAGCCTTTTGGCAGGGTAATACGTATGATTCAGTAACGTGGAAAAGCCTGTTTTATTATACATGGGCCCAGTCCCTCAGTTCATCTACTGCCTGAAACAAGCTCCATTTGCTCATTTCTCTTTAAAAAATTCCTTTAAAACATCGTGTTTTGTCTTTAAGCAACAACTAGAAGCCCTTTTTTTAAAAATGCAGCCAATATGTGGGGGTTATATTTTTACATGTGTGCTCTGTGGCCATTGGAAAAACGGTATATATATTTGTTACTTATAAACCTGGAGCAGAACTCAGCCTCGCATGAGCCCCTATTTGTTGTCGCCGACTGGGGGTTTGACAGGACAACAGACAAACACAGTGCAGACGAATTTGCCCAGCTGTATTTTATGTATTAGTGAAATAAATATTTAAGTGGCTATGTCAAGGAAGCTTACCTATACAAAACAGCCTCTGGGGCAGTTGTATACCCTATTGGGTAAAATACATTAATCATATAGATTGGCTTGTGCTTGACTTCTATGAATGTATAATGCTACATTCACAACTCTAGCAGGATTTCAGATATCAAGATTTTTATGTCCTCAAAAAAATTTTCCTGGTCATTTATAGTTAGGCATTTATCAATATACAGAGCTCTAATCTGGTGCATTATTTAAATCAATGCCATGTATATGTAGGGTAGCACAGTATTTGGGTGACTTATTTAACACCTATTATTTTTTTAAGGAAGCATATACTGCTTTCCTAATGTTTTGACGATAAAACCATACTGTAGCTCTATTATTTGTTTCTAAAGTTTTAAAGCAACGCCTAAAAGTTTTATTCTTTTAACAAAAAATGGCACTGCTGCAGATGTTTTCATTTGAGGCAATTTGCGGAGGTGACAGGGTAATATTAGTTTGTCTTCTAAAGATTTTAAATGACTTGTTGATTATATTCCAATTTGGTTCTAGATAATTTTGTGTTTGGCAAAAACTACAACCCAAACACATGATGTTTAAAATCTAGTACTGCTGCTTAATATCCTGAGAGGTGGGTATATCTGAACACAGTGGCTCAAATTACAGCTGTGGTTGCTATTTCAAATTTTGGTTGCAAACATCATCTTTAAAGGTAGAAAACACTGAAAGTGTAAGAAAAAAATGATTATAAACAAAATTATATGAATGCATATAACAGTTTTGCAGGCTGTTCACATAAAAGTAAACTTATTTCTTTAAATACACAAAGATATATTAAAAAGGATTACTGGCAATCGGATGGCAAAATATCAGACTCAATCGTTGTCTTCCCATTCAAAGGAATGGTGATGTCTTAAAAAAAATAATGATTGAATATAGCCCAGTTAATAATATGTAGTGTACAAGTGAGATACAAAAAAGTATTTTAAAACCTGTATTTTTATTTTTAAACTTTGAGATGAAGAGTTTTTTAACTGAAAAAATCTTTTAGCATCACACTAAGTTAACTTCAGTCAGTAGAAAAAAAATAAGTTCATAAAAAATTTTCATATAGTGTAGAAAAAAACAGTAATTCAAAGTACTCTACAGTAGCCAATTAAGGAAATACTACTAATTAAATTAAAATAAGAAGTAAAAACTGAAGTAGCTTTAAAGAGGAAATTTCTTTTTTACAGCACTGTACATTAAGAAATGTGTTTTGCCTACTTGTATAATGGTCATGAGCACTTAATGTTCATTTTTACTTTAAACCTCATTACTGTCTGCAAGCAATGTGTGTGATATTTGTCTCCTGCCTCCAGGCCTTCAATAAAATGCAGTCAGAGTAGGTCAGCCACTGGCCTGTATCTGATAGCCAGAATATCTCTGTCAATACCATGACCTCTGCAGAGGCATACAGCACTCACCGAAAGTCGCTTACCAGCCTGAAAGGCTCGCTGATTGCTCTAATATCGCACACAGTCATTTATCAGTTCTGCCACACAGAGGTAGGTCCTATGGGACGCAGGAAAGATCAAGACATTGATGGAGACGTATAGACATGAACTCTGAATGAGTGACAATAATTAGACTTGCTCTGTGCATCTCCTGTGGTTCCACAACAGCAGCGTGAGCAAATTAAAAAGTCCCAGCAGTGACATTGATCTTGTTTCTGACTGTGGCCAGTGGAAGGAAGGAGAAGTCATTGGAACAGACATCTTTCTTTATTGCCCTTTGGCTTGCCATTTCTGCCTCGCTTTGCTTTGGGCTCACTTACAAGAGAGAATGTTGAGAGGGTTAGTGACCGAGTAGCTACATGATAGGTACAATAAAGAGGGATATCATCAAGAGATTTTTGTTCAAACTAAGAGAAATCGAAAGACGATGTTAATGGTAGATTTTTCCTCAGCGTAAGAACTTGGCAAGGTTGGCACTGGTAAGATGGAGATAATAATCCATGTTTGAAGATCAGTTATATCATCTATATTTCTCATCCATGGTTCAACCTTTTTTCTCAACCAATAAAATCTCTTTATTTTTCCTCAATGACTGCAATGTTTTTTTTTTTTTTTTTTCCTGTTTCTTTATTTACTTTTTCTTTTTTATTTTTTTTTTTTTTTCTGTTTTATTTTGTTTTTGTTTTTTTTTTTTTTTTTTTTCCGGGTTTTTTAACCCACCCCTTTTTCAACCTTTTTTTTTTCCCCCCAAAACTCCCACAAATAATTGTTTTCATAAACGGAAACAAATATCAAAATAATTTGTGTGTAATAACAGTTTTTTTTTCTTCTTTCTTTTACAGTTAGAAAAGATCCAGAAGCACTCGTGGTACATGTAAGTTCCTCATGGCCTTCTCCCAGATTTATATGCCCCCCAATTTCATCGTTCGTTAGACTGTTCAGCACCTGAAGGGAGCTTCCACATGAAAAATGACTGAGCCTCAGCTATGTACACAAGAGTACATTTATGCAGGGCATGACTTCACTCTCGGGGACATGGGGGTAAATTGGTAGCGCATGAAAGAAAATTTGAAGCATATGGTCATGTGAACAAGCAGAAGGCCTGAGGGAGCCTGTGGGGATGAGGAAACTAAACTAGTACCACTTAAGTTTGCCCCATTGTTTAACATTAAAAATACAGTATATGCACTTTATTAGGCCGATGCACTGTAAGTCATTAAGGAATATTCATAGCTATCTTGTTCCCAAAGGAAAGTACAGCTGCTTTCTGAAAATTTAAACGAAATAAGCAATCTCTATGATGAGAATTACTGCAACAGTCTTATTAAAGCTAAACTGTATTTTTTTAATTTTAGGGTAAATAGTTGTTTGCCATTTGTAGGGGACTTTCTCCTGCTCCATAGTAATTTGATTGCCCTCAAAATAATTACAAAATTTAAAGAATTTATTTAAATGTGCTCTGCAGACGTCTCCTCCCAGTCTGAAGAGCCAGTCACATGAGCTACCAAGGTCGAATAGGTTTTAGTAAACATACTTGATTTTATGAAATTATTAGCTAAAACAAAAACTTATTTCAATTCTTTTGATTAAAAAACTGTGCAGTCTTTAACTTTTGCAGTTTTTGCAGAAAAAGGTTTCAGAAAAGATAAAAATGAACATGAACATTTTACTGGTTTAATAAAGGGGTTTGAGTTGAGTTTTGTATGGAACTCTGGTGTTTCATTATTTTAACCTCAATCCATCAATCACTTGGTTACATAGCACTGTTACACACAATCTAAAATAAGTATTACAATGGTATCTTTAAAAGCAGAAACAAAACTAATCCTTTGGATTAAAAGGCAAAACACCAAAGTTTTTGATGGATTTAAAATCAGCTGCCAGTGGATCTTATAGATGGTGTGATACTGTTTCACATTTTAGGAACTGCAGCTGAAAGCTTGGTCTCCTTAAATTATCAGCCTGGTCGTCAGAAAGACTAAAAGCATTTGGTTTTCAGATGTCAGCATCCTACAGTGACTACGTTTATGTAAAAGATCAACTATGTACTATAAGATGGTGTCAGACCATTTAAAGGGTTTAAAAAGTAAAATCTTCTAAGTGATTCTATACTAAATAGGCAGACAGCATATACAGTAGAGGATGATATGAAGGGATGGCTCACTTTACCTTTTGAATGACACACCTTCAATTGCATTTTGATGAAATTGGGGCATATTTGTTTAGTTCTTCATCAACTTAAAATTATAACAAATTTAAGCTCACTGTCCAAGATAATGCTAAGATTCCAGTTAGTTAAAAACAAATGAATGGAGAGGACCAACAGCACTTTAAACTCTCCGTTTTGTGAGAGTTAATAGGATAATAATAATGGTCTTGATTTCATTTGGACATGGAAAATTCAGCTTTATCCATCTTCTTACACCCATAGGAGATTCTCATCCATCAGACTACTTTGAGCTTTTTGCTTTAAATGAACAACATCTAGAATTTCAATACAGATAATTGGAAAAATCAGTTCTATGCTGAGATTACTCCAAAAACGGGAGAGTAGAGTTGATCAGCTGAGTGATGTATGAAGCCACCAAAGCTTGCAAAAAAATCTGTTACTTTACAAAGAAAAACCCATTCACATCTCTAATGGGGAGATATGCTCTTGATCATTATGTAAAATAATTTAAAGCAAATAAGTTCTTCAAGAGAAAACTGTAAAACTGTCATTTAAAATTAGTTAAGACATGGTCTTAATAACAGCAATGCAATGTTATACAAAGGAAACATAAGAAAATTTATTTTTCAGCCGTTATGATTTGACTTCAACAGGAAAAAATGCCCCTAACTATTTCTCTTTTTGGTAAAAATAAGGACTGAATCCTTTATTAGATGATGTCTTAATATACAAGTATACGTTATATAAAGACAGAGAAATGGGGGAAAGGAAAGTTAGTTAAAGCATTGACATAGATCTAGTTCATAAGTTCACTGTATATAGATAATGGAGGGCGTGTTATTTTAATAGCTGCCAATGGGGTTTCTGCTTCACTGAGCTCACCAGATGAAAAATAATAGATTCAGGAAAGTAATAATGAGGAGAATATTGACTCAAATCTGTCTAAATGTCTGTGGGTATTGGCATGTTATTGAAAGGAAGACTGCAGTTCTCTTTGTGTTCAGTTGAAATGAAGAAATAGAACAGCAATCCTCTTGAAAACGGTGTAATTTGGCTTTCATGTTAAGGCCTGCCTGTGTTCTCCTCAGAGACAGGCAGAGAAAAGACGGGGTAATGTGAAATATCTGAAAGTGTTTTAGGAAAAAATTAATAATAATTTAAGGAAACATTTTGTAAACTGAGCCTGACCAAATAAGTCAGGCTTCAAATGAATGACCTTGTTGGATCAGTAGGATTATCCAGGTGCTCACAAAGCAGTACCAAAAATTTGTATTTATGGAGAGAAAAATCATCACAAAAAAGGATCTTATTTTTATTCTCGTTTTTTATGCATTCCTAGTGGTGGAAAAAACGAACCGGAGCCAGAGCAGCCTGTTCCCAGAAAGGTAACCATCCGCAGCCTGCCTTCTGCAGACGACATCGACCCAGATGTACTGGACAGCATGCACTCCCTGGGCTGCTTCAGAGACAAAAACAAACTTCTTAAAGACCTGCTATCAGATGAGTGAGTGAATAGATGTTTAAACGGGAGGGATCGATACTTTATGGGTGTGATTTCAGGTCTTGCTTGTACACTTTAATTATTTTTTCCTGGCTCTTACAAAATCCCATAAAGCTTTCGCTTTAGATGTCAGAAACCATTGATCACTTAAGTGTTATCACACAGTGCTAACAGTGCTTGGTGCTAGGATACTTTTTGCCTGAATTTGTCCCGATTTGCTCTACAAGCTGACTTACTATATGCGTCACTTTTGTACATATCCTTCTTCTAAGAGCTCTCCCCTTTTCAAATATAATCCCACTAATGTTTCAGTTTTTTAAATTTCCCAGCGCTTCTCCTCTTTGCTTTAAGTACTCTCTTACCATACTCCATTTGCTTTCCTTCTCCTGGGATAATTTTGTAATTGTGCTGCATGGGAGAAAAATCTGTGGTCTCCATTTCCCTTCCCCTGCTTCATTTTAGCTGAAGTTGCAGGTCCTTGTCTCTTTGCCTCCCACAGCTTTCCAATCTGTCTTTATTATAGAGGCCTATTCCCTGGGTATTTTGCATAGAGAGTGTACCACAGAGGCTAAAGACATTAGGTTTCCTGATTTGCAAAGAAAGTAAAGGTCGAACTTGTGATCTTTTGACACTTTCATTGGACTTAACACTTACCAGCACTCAGTCTCTAGAAATATGGCTGAGTAGGCTAAAGAAAAAGTATGCATACCATGATGGGAAGGCTTAATGATCTGTAAAACTAAACTTTTTTTTAAAAATATAGAAACAATTTATCAGCCGTTTTACTGAGCACACACAAAATATTAAAGGACATCGATCTCAGTTTGACGATTTTTAACATTAATCTCATGTTTCTATTGGAATTGTTAACATTCCAGTTACATTGCAGCGAAGATCGAGGAAACCTTTAAGATAATTTTATAATTTCAACCTGTGTGAAAAGATTTAACAACTTGCTTTTATTATTTTAAATGTTGCGCTTTTGCAGTGAGAACCAAGAGAAGATGATCTACTTCTTGTTACTCGATCGTAAGGAGAGGTACCCCAGTCAAGAGGACCAGAACCTTCCACCTCGCAACGACGTTGGTGAGTCCTACAGGGACGAACATAAATGTCTCAGTTTCTAACCATAAATGTTCACTGTGTTAAGACAAAATCATCTAAAATATGCCCCACAAACTCTTAAATTAAGAGATAAATATTTTTGAAGAGGTAATTTAAGAGATATGAAAGTGGTGAAGAGCTGTTTGACTTTTTTTTCTAGTTGAAGCACCCTCTACTACATTTATGAGCCCATTTATCAATGTGTAAAATCAGGTATCTTATAGTGAATCAAGCAGGGATAATTAACCTTTAAACTTGTATTTGTTTATTTATTCATTACACATAATAAATGTCAGGAGATAATTGATAAAACAAAATTGGTGGTTCTACACCAAATGCTCCCCCTGCTGTTTTTCTTTGTCTAACCACATTTCGTAAAACAGACATTTTGTTTTGTCCTACAATATTTCACAAAGGTAAAACCTTTGAAAACATTGATCACCAGATTTAGTGCTCGTTTTCATCCCACAGATTTCCGGAAGGTGATTTCTTGTCTAATTCCTTTCTGTGTTGATTTAGCTGCATAGTTTGACTCATTATGCTGATTATAGACCCAATGATGACTCATTCTTAAGGGTATGACTATCATATCATCATTTTATCTGAAAAATTCCTAGTATTTAAAGTTTATACAATTCCATCCACTATTACAAGGTTTCCAGGTAAAGGGAGAGGGAGAAAGGGAAGCAAAGCATGAAAGGCTTTCTGCTATTATTAGCAGTGGATATGATTTCAATCAAAAATGTTGTTTACTTAAAGGTATAATGGAGGATGTTCTTTTTCAAGGTGGATCATGACAATAAGTGGTCCTCCTAATTGTCTATCCCTCTGGGGATATGTTTACGTAAGACCGCCCTACGTGCTCCTCCCCATTTTCACTTACCGGGTGGTGAGCCTGACATAGTGGGGAAAATTGCACATCTTTGGAAAGTAAGCTTGTATGAGCGATGCAAATAGCGACTTTTAAATATGTGCATGCTCTCGCAGGCGTTTAATAGGCGTTCCCTCTCAGGAGCGGGCGGGGGGTTGTGTATGTGCACTTTTTTTTTTTTTTTTTTTTAAAGTGGAGAGGGCGGGTCTTTTCAAAAAGTCACAAAAATCCTCCACTAGACCTTTTAGATCCTAGATCAGTGGTTTTCAACTCCACTCCTTTAGGTCATTTTCTTGTAACCTTTAGATGCATTATTTCTTTGACTGTAATGTGTTGAATGCTTCTCTTATATTGAACATAGAGCCACAGATGAATTAGTTCTATGCTCTTTCAATTGTATTATTCTAACAATATTATAATTTTAATAATAGATTTGTTTATTCTAAGGTGTTTTACAACTTTGTACTATTGCCCATTCTAAGTGTAATTATTGTATCATAATCATTATTATAATCATATTAGCCATCAGAAGAACAATAGGGGAAATGTTAATTATGTACTGTAGAAAAGTTTTTTTTCTATGAGAAAAATACTTATTTTTTAAAGTCCAACTTTCTTTGAAACTACAAGTAAGTTTGCCTTTAAGATTGGTCAAAATTTGGAACCCACACATGAACCCATAAGATTTATATGTATTTAAGCAAAACCCCTTTTAAGCAGTGAGTTTTATTTTCAAACTCTTGTTTATTCAAACAAAAAAATAAATGCAGAACAATTTATTGAGGATTCCAACTCATGAAAGTATTTTTATGGCTTAACCAAGCTGCAGTGTTTTCCTCTATCAGAAAAAAATTGGTTCTGCTCCAGCTCTTACAGCGTTAGATTGGTTGTTCAGTAAACAGATGAAGAAACCCTTTTCGTTTATTGAGAATGAATAAAAACCACGGCTTTGAATAGAAAGATTCACCAGGGTTTAAAAAAAAAAAAAAAAAAAAAAAATTGTCATCTGATTTGAGTCAAACATTATCTGATGAAATAAAATTGGTGCCTAACATCATATGAATGATTTTCCATCCACAGAAGTCTGAACAGGGATGGAGATGCTCTCTTTAAACTCCTGCTCAGGTTACTTTGTGACAACGGTCTGTGCGTGTGTCGACATTTTGATAAATAGACTCCTCCTTCAGTGAATGTGATACAGTCAATACAGTGGCCATTAGTTCAAAGGCTGGAAGGAAGCCATTACTTATTCTCTATTAGTTAGAATGTCAATGTGATCAGTGTTAAACATCAGTCAAACTCTAACATCTATGCAAGCCATGTGGAAAACTGCCCAATACCAGCGAATAATAGCTACCAGACTAGGTGTTTTGTGTTTTCTCTATATTTTATTTCCTTTTATTTAATTTTTCTATTTCATGCAGACCCACCAAAAAAGCGGGTTGACTCTCCAATGTTGAACCGTCATGGCAAGAGGAGGCCAGAGCGGAAATCCATGGAGGTTCTGAGTGTCACTGACGGAGGCTCGCCAGTACCAGCCAGGAGAGCTATCGATATGACACAACATGGACAAAGGTGCGCATGCATGTGGAAAATTAAAGAAGTATAATATAGACTAAAGGTATAAGAATGTATATTTGTAGTCTAATTCTAATGAAGAGTTAGTATTTTACTAATTCAAAAAGTAAAACTTTCCCATTATTTCTGATAATGACGATTTTTGCTTACAGCTATTGAAAAGATATGCTGTTTGTCATAAAATGTAATATTGCTGTACAGAAGGGTCGGTAAAAAGATTTTTTAATTGTGAAATATTATGTTACAGCAATTTGATATTTTTACAAAATCCTTTTCTCTTAGCGGATATTTCTCTATTATAATGTAATATATGATATTTTTATTTTGAAAAACTAAAGTTTGAGTTCCCAGTAAAACATGCTTAAATCAGAGGGAACAATACCTTGGCTCAGTTTTTCTGAAAACATTTTAAGATGTCAATTGTGGCAGCTGTCACTAGAGTGATCTGTAGTTGGAGTGCTGCTGTATGAGGGACAATAAGACCCCCTTTTTTTTTTTGGTACATTCCAAGATAGATGCAAATCAATGAGCTATCTTTCATTCTCCTGTCCAGAGGTTTGGGTTTTTACTAGCTGTAAGTCCTAGTCAACATTTATAGAAATAAAAGCTTGAATGAAATGTACCACTCTGTGATAAATTGCTATGATATGAATTTCCCTTTTTAAGAAAATTATTGAAATTATGTGTTTAATTACATCATAATTTATTAAGCTGCACACATAGAAACGGCTTATTCTGTGTGTGAGTGTTTTTGTCTGGAGGATCCCGCTTCATGGTTTATGTTTCAGCTGTTCTGACAGTGAGTTTGCATCCAGTGTCAACAAACTCCACTGTAGACCTAAACATAAACAGAGACTGACTGTCTGCTTACTTTTTCTTCTGTCTCATCATAGTAAATCAGTGTACAGTAAAAGCTTGGATATTCCAGACGCCAGAACAAAATGCAGCAAAGAAGAAAGGTACTCACCTGCCTTCACTTCCACATGCTTTAACCTTAACTCGCTCCATACCCATGCAACAACATGAAAAAAGATGCAGAGATTCTTTATTTAATTTGTGATTAAGTATAAAAAAAAATAAATAATAAAAAAAAAAAAATTGGGATGTCATTTCTTAAAATTTAGCTCCTAATTAATTTAGTTCTGAAGTTAGAGATCAGTGCTCATTTAGAATTCACAGGCTTAGTATCAACAGCCCCACTTGTTCAGGCATTAGCTCAATTATCGCTTCTCCTCATAATCAGTTCTACCATACTGTGTCCCACTTTCTCTAGATGCAGAACATTTCTCCATTTTGCTATTTTGGAAATGCTGAACTCATGCCAGGAGCGCACTCCCACGAGGCTGAGTGCACTGATTCAAAAATCCTTTTCTACGTCTTATTTCAACAGCCAGTGTATCATCAAACCACACATTTGTGCTCAGGGGCAGTGACATTTGTAACAGCAGGGAAGATTGCATCAGAGAGAGTGATAACATAAAACTGACTAATGTAAGTCGGTCTTGTAGAAGGCTGAAAAGGGCTTTGATGTGGGGACAAAGCAATAAAGTGCATTTAATTTATAAGCCTGTTGTCATCCAGTAAAGTTTCCATCCCCTAACTCCGTGATGTGTTTGATTCACAGATGGAAACCACTTTATAGGTTTTAAATCTATTGTAATGTCTTTCATCTTAAAAAAAAAAAAAGCTCTTTCCTTTGGTAGCCCCATATTCAAGCATAACATTTTTCTTTTTTTGTTTCATAAACTCTATCCCTTCCTTCCCTTCCAGAATAATCTGGTTTCCATTTGAAGCTGCTTAATATTCAGACTTTTACCCTAATTTAACCATTTCAGGCATAGATTTCCAATATTAGAAACTTTCCACTGATGTATTCAAGCTTAGAGGCTCCAGCTACACTTTCTTGCAAATGGTATCCTAGGTCTTCAACTTGTTTTAAATCGTCACAAAGAATGAGAAGTTTAATTGGGTTAAATAAAATTTTAATACAGCATCTATTTGTTACACAACACATATAACATCATAATTATGTGAATGAATCTCAGCTGACAGGTCAGGGATAAAGTGTGGAGAATTCTAAAGAAAAATATTCAGCGTTTTGAGAATCTCTAAGAATACTATTCAATGCTGAAAATCGAGACTATGGTCAAATTGCAAATCTTACAATACATGGCTGTCTGTCTAAACTGGAAGGCTGGAAAATAAAGAGAGGACTTTAGTTTTTTTCTCAACAAATATGCCTTTTATTGAACAGTGAAGCAGAATCCAGCCATAATAAATCCTGTCTGTAGTTTGCCCCAACCCATAAAGGCGACTCAGCATACATGGATAATGGGCTGTGGTGAGATGAAATTAAAACTACATTTTATGTTTCTACTGTGGAAATCAATCACCTCATCAAGCCTTAAATACATCTTCATTGGGGTGAAGCATGGCGGTGGCAGCATCATGTTGTGAGGATGTTTTATTTAGAGAGGAGCTTGTCATAATTAAGAATATTTTAAAGAGACTTAAAATGAGGTTAAAGGTTCAACTTTCAGCAAGACAATGAACCCAAACGTATAACCAGAGCAACCAAGTGATTGTTTACAGTAAATTAACCAATTGAAAATCTAAACCACATTTTTGTAAAGCCTTGGAAATGGCTAGAAGCTCTTTACCCATTTAAAAAAGCCAGAGTTTTTTGCTAGGAATTAGGAAATATTTTTTTGTCAGGAAAACAAAAGAATTGTGCATGAAAAAAAAACTCCCAGCTGTTATTAAAACAAAATAGCAACAGAGTTCAGCAAATTATTGTCTCAGAGAAGCTAAACATAAATGTGCTCCACACTTTTCAGAAAATATGCAAATTGTTTTTAAGTATAATTAACCAACAAAGAGTTTTTGCATATATACAGTGGTACTTTGAATATTTTTGATTGGAAATATTCCCCAATTCTTTGAGATTAAAAGCCCTCCTTTTCAAAACCCTTACATTTATCTTCCTTGCATGTCTCTAACTTTTAGAGTTCAGAGAAACTTGAAAACAGAATCTTGCTTGGAAAGTTTTAAGAAAACTTAAAAGTGTTAGGGATATGTATCTGTGCTTATCTTAAACAAAAATCACACCTTCATCTTACATGGCAACATCTAAAATAGGTCTATATGCAAATCCTATATTTACAAAAATAAGAAAAAGCTTGTCTGCATCTTTCTTCTACGCTAGTTTAACTTGAGTTGTCCCCTTCCATGTAGTTTTTCTCCAGGAGCTTCTCCCTTTCCTTTTTTGAGAAACACCTTTCTCTCTCTTTCCAGTTGTCCCTTGTGTATTGCTGACCTTCATTCTCAAATGATCCTGCTGTTAGTGCAGAATTGCTATGCTAATGTGGAAAAGCTGCTAGTTTTGCTCTGCCTGGCCTCCTCTGCCTCCTATCAGTCTTTATAAATTGGAGGAGGAGGGAGGTTGTGATACCACAGCCCCTCTGCCTCCAAATCAAATCAAATCTCTTTTTTTCCCTCCTTAAAAACAAACTTTTCCATCCTTTATCTTGTGCTCGTTTTTGCCTTGTATGATCATGCTGATGTTTGTGTGTGTACATGATACTGATGCCGGTGGAGAAATGTACAGAGCAGCGTAATGTGCAAAGATTTGTCTGACTTTCTCTGAACCTAACCTTATCTTTCCCTGACAGCAAACTTTTGTCGACAGCTCAGAAGATTTGTAGAACTTGAGATCAGAGGCTGTCAGAGAGAGAGGACCGGCTTTGAAACATGTGTTTTGACATGATATGTTTCCGCCTGTGTAAAAGGGTGAAAGAGACAGGAAGCAGTTTTATTTTAAATGACATTCATTTAAATATTGGAAAGTTAGCTATACAGCCAGTATTTTGTTTAAATATTGCAAATTGATATGTTTTATAAAGTGTAATTGAATAGATTTGAGATAAATGCAGCATTGGCCAAGTTGCATATTAGTAGAAATGACTACATCCTCATTTGCCTGTCTGTTTTATTCATGTATTGCTAAAGCTGCACTAAAAATATATCTAAAGCATGATAAATTCCACTGATTTAACTTTGGATCCTAACAACATGCCAGGAGAAATGAAGGAAGGTTAATGATATGTAAATGAAAAATGGAAAAGTGCTGCACTGTGAAGAAGAGAATATCAATGATTTTCTTTTTCTTAGAGATATGCTCTAGTCTTCTTATATAATCTGATTTTAAAGTATTTTAAATGGTGTTAATAAGTTGGGATCCCCTGGTCGTTAAAGACTTAAATTTATGTAAGAGGTTAAAACGAGCAAAAATAAAACACTTTTACAGTGATATGTTCGACAAACTCTGCAGGGGTTGTGCTGCGTTGCAGAGCTGTGAATATTAATGCATGAGTCCTCAGGGGGGTTTCAGGGCTCAGAGGAGGAAATGAATTAAAACCATATGTTGACTTTCATTAATATTTACTCATGTTTAGAAGCTCCAATGGAAGAATAGTTGGTGACAAAGAAAGTGGAGTTAAAGACAAATTTTTCCAGTATGATTTTTCAGTCTCGTATTATTTAAGCTATTTTTCCTACTTCAATTTTAGTCTTAATTATTGCATTTATCCTTAATGTTTATTCAACATTTATTCTTTGGAGTTGAAGCGGGAGTAATTAAAGGCAACTTCTTAAAACTTATGTTGGGGCATAGAATTGACCTTGCTCAAGTTAAATTCCTTTGTGCAAAGTTAGGTGGGAGAACCCGAGGGAGGTACAACTGCAGATTGAGTGAGAAGATATTGGGATTTTTACAATTTGTGCCTTTTATACAACTGCAGGTGCCTCTGAACATTGGTTTTAAAGGGATACTTAGATTTGCCTTACCTTTTTAATAGTGTTAACATTGAGGAAAGATTTAGACATCTATTTAGTACCTTACAGCTAAAAACTGATTTTAACAATAAAAAGACTAAAAGAATAAAAGATGTTAAATTTTGAAATAACAGATTCTGGCAGTATTGTAATTTTCTCTGCTCATTCTTTTAGCCAGAGAGTAAATGGTTACAGAGCATGTCATTTAAAGCTCCATCAAACATGGCTGACTCTTAGGCAAAATGCTTAAAGACTGATATGTTTTTAATCTGCTCCCAATGGCTAGTATCTTTAGAGCTTTGTGTGTTTGGACTAGTTTAGAGAGTATGGGAAAGGGTAGTTTGGCACCACAATTTTCTTTGCATAACAGAGGTTATGCAACGAAACACACTTGATGCTACACTACCTATTGACCGTGTGTTCTGTCATATGCAGGATCAGTCCTACACAGAGGTGTAAAGT